ATTTGCACGCCTGTTCCAGTAAAACCTGTTAACTTTTACTTTTGCCCACTCTGTAAAGGCATTGCCCATGGAAACTAGGAAAGGTAGTAAGTAGTTTTTAAATAATAAAGAATTAGCTTTAATTTTGTTTTGTAGCATTATCCTTGATACTTATTTATAGATAAATGAGAACTAGAATTAAAATCATTTCATTTTCTTGGTCACTTACAAGCCAAGCAAGATAGCATTGGGATGTTAAAGCTTATAGGAGCATAATTTATGCATTATACAATAAGCTGGCTTCTTGTGCTTCATTTCTGAATTGAATAACCTCACAGTTAATAGGATTACACATTATTCCAAGAACAAGAACAGGCCAGTCTTACAGAAGTGAGCGAACCAGGAAAAGGTATGCATCACTGCCCTCCTTTTCTGTTCTTTTGTGCTCTGTCACCATGTTGTTCTGCACAAATGCAGTACTTAACGAACGTGGCCCCTCACCCACAGTCGTTTTCTTTGGTGGCAGTAATACTGGGAAGCAAACCCACCTGTGACATGAAAAAATAAATGGTAAATCAGAACACGTCTCTGAGTGATTAATGTTCCCAGCCAGTCCAAGATGTGTCTTCTGTTTAGACTGATGCTTGATTTTGGGCAGAGAAGTTTTAACCTCAGTTTTTGTACCTGTTTCACATAGTTAGGAGTAATACCACCACCCTGCAGCTGTGCTTGTTCTGGAGCACATTCCAGGGAACTTCTCTGGATAGAAATGCATAGAAAGCACGCTAGAGCTGGCTATCGTGTCACTTAGAAGAAAAGCCTGTCGTAGTTCCCTCATGTGGCTCAAGTCTCGTGCAATTTGCCTTGTAAGTTAATCCTGCGAGCAGTAAATCTGTTACTTTCAGATTTTCAGTTTATACCATTTGGGTTAGGGAAGAAAAAAACAAAACCATTTAATGTAAGGACCACTGGCAGCCATCTTTCAGTGGTAAATGTTGCTACAGATACAGTATAGCAGGGTAAGTAAGAACACGTATATGTTCTAGGTGCTGGAGGAGAGTTTGGGGATTCCTCTGATTCCATCTTGGAAGGTAAGCCTGTCCCTGACTACAGCTTCGGGTGGGAAAGGTAGCTCGGAATAGCCGGGGGTGTTATTTTTCGTTTTCATGCACCACCGTTTTAACATTAAAAAAAAAAAAGGAATAAAAATGTATGTAACCACATTAAACATACTATAAAATTTTACTTTTTATAAGTCTTTTACAGGTAGCTCATGTGCTTTGGAGATGGAAGAAAGGAAAGCTTACATTCTTTCCATGACCAGAAATTTAACTTCTTGTTTATAGTGACCCTTTTTTGTCAAAAATGCTCACAGAGACTCAGTCTGTTCCTACAGAGCAATACTCAATATTGCAGATGTCCTCCTTCATTAGCGTCCTGTGTTACACTCAGCCTTGAGGAGTTATTACAGGAATCTTTCTTTTAGTCTAGTCAATCCATCTTTCTCTGACTTCAGGTCAGATTAAAAGGTTACAATTTTGGCTGCCTTCATCAGGTTTATCGTGGGCCACAGCAAATTACTGCCTCCCATGGCCAAGATCCAGGGTGACAGCACTATGCCTACTTCTCCGATATTTTGGATTCTCTTGCTTCTTTGCCAGAAGTGGGCAGACATCACTAGCAGTCCTATTTCGGTCTCCTTAGCCTTCTCCCCATTTAGTTTTGTGACTGAATCATAACCCATTACATCACTTATGTTTAGCAAAGCAGCTGGCTCCCAGATTTGTTTTCCCTGACATTCTCAGGCTGCTATTGTGCCTACGGCAAAGCAGTAGGACAGAAATTCTCAGGAAATCTCCCTTTGCACCAGAGTCTGGTGTGAGCACATTTTCTACCCTTTCAGTTCTCTCTCCTTGCTTCTTCCTGCTTTCCTAACCTGACTCTAGCATTTTTGGTCCTGCCCAACAGGTTACCAGAGGGTCCTGGATGTGTCGTTCCCTGCATGGCTACCCTTTAACTTTCTTGTGCTAGGTGAGGCTGAGAAAACCTTCTTTGCGGTTTCTTCCATTTTTTTGTTCCCCACTAACAGTGCAGGGGATGCACACCAAAGAAAAGATTCCCTATCACTTCCTAGTTGCACTGGGACCATTTGTCTAAACCTGCATCTTAAAACACTGCTCTTCAGAGAGATCTCTCCCTGACTCCTCGAACGTACTCACGACCACTTCCCTGGATGGCACATGAAAGCAGCAGCCACCATTTCCAAACATTCTGCTTTAAACCTACTGCCTGGTTATTCCTCATACTAGCCATCAAACTGTATTTGTTTCAAACAAATGCATCTGCAGAGGTATTTAGCGTTTTCTTAATAGTCTCCATTTCAGAAACATACATGGGAAAGTACATTCCCAGGAGTGACATGAGTAGGCATGAATCTCCCACAGTAGACATAAATTATTTGGCTCTATTTCTTAAAATTTACTGCAGCTATTTATGATTCAATTCTGTGCCAGAGTGAGGGAGTCACTGTTATTTTCAGACAAGTAATTGGCCCTTTGACCATGTTAAGAACCAGTCACATTTGTTATCGCTACACAAAGGTACAGTTTCTGCTTTCATATGCTCCACATTAAATACAGGTGAATGTACAGAATAGGCACGCCTTACATTGTCACTGCCATCACACACTTTCCAAACATCCATCCACAGCATCCCTGTGCTGTAGGGATTCAGTGGGCCATCAACTGCCCTGAGCTTCCCAATACACTGCGAGTCCTTCCTTACAGGTTTTCTGTTCACCTGTTGGAGTGATGCTGTTTCATTTCCTTCTGGAATGCAAATTGCTCTCCATGCTAAACATCTTTTTTGATTGCTACTGATTTTTCTGCCATCAAAAAATATGGTAGGCTCAAATACAATAATAACAGGCCACAGCCAGTAATTAGCAACACAAAGCTTAATCAATTTATGTTGTTCTTTTGCCCTTCCCACTGTCTTAATCCAGCCAGTCTTTGTTCCTGCTCCCTTGCCAGGAAGTGTGACGTGTCTTTTGGCTTTTCTGTATGGCGCAATGCAGATCTATAAGACTGTACAGAAACATTTTATAGAGTGAATATGTGTAGCCATAAAGAATGGCTGTCTCCAAGGTTAATGGAGTAGTAGAAATGAGATGTAAATAGTTACTGAAGTGAATAGGCAGAATTGAAGGATTTTTTCCAAAGTGAAGATTCGGATGGGCTGTACCTATAGAGAACTTCAAAAGTGCAGGCTCTACACGCTTTGCATAATTGGAAATGGGTTTCTGAAGTCATTGTTTATATAGCTTTATATGACAAATGAGATTTGCATATTAATGAGAAGTTTAAAATTATTCTGGCTGTTCATGACAAATATTTCCACGTTCAATAATTAGAAAAACAGAGAAAAAATGAGGGCAGGCTTGGTGTTGTGACAGGCATCCACGCCATGCATGCAGCTTATCTAAAAAACAGTAGTTGGTCATTTCTAGTAATGGTTTGTACTACAAAATGGAGGAAACTATTTTGCCTTTTTATTAACAGTTGTGTCTATTTGTATGAAATCAAGTTCATTGCCTTACAGAGAACAGGGGATGGAGAAGAAAACAACCTAAGTCAAATATTACCAGTGAAAGACAGTAATGTTGTTTTCTTTCCTTTTTGAATAAAGAAGAGGGAAGTGGATTGTTTGTTTGTTTTTGGTTTAGTATTTCCTTTATATATGAACTGACCTTGTCAGCAGTCACTGTCCATGCTAAGGTAGATGAGTTACCATAGTGTCAACCAGATAGTTAATAAAATGTAAACAGTTTTGCAAGTAAAATGTTCATTTGGGGAAGGTTTGTTAGATACTTACTGTTACCTATATTTGGATTCCAGGTAGACTCCTTTAACTAGTAAGTTTCACTAAGTTTCAGTTATTTACCTTGCAAAACCATGAGTAAAACCAATATAGTTAGATACTTTGATGTGATTTTAACGTCATTTGTGGCCCTTAGACTCCAAGTGAAATTTTTGAAGGTGCTCAGTTTGAGGCCAACATTGTGCCCTCAGTCAGTACTGAATGCCAGTTGTGTTCGCTGGGAGCATAATGAGGCCAATAGAGAGCACATTTGTAAACCCCCCTCCCTCCTCTGTCTACAAACTGAAATCCCTGTTTAAGAAAGGGCTCATTGTAGATGATTAGTTGAGGGAAAATATTGTAGTGAGAGTGTGCAAAAAGTATCCAGGCAAAATGCTTAATGCCACATAAGGAAAGGAAAAGTCCCAACTTCATTTGTATCTCAAGAAACCTTACCCATAATTATGTCACTAGTGAGTATTTTTCTTTCTAAATCTGCTCTAAAAATGACATTGAAATGACTTTAACAACTACTAAATATCCTCTTTTAAGAATATTCTTCCATGCTATGTTTTATTTCAGAAAACTTAAAAAATGCAGTAGCTTAAGAAAAGTGAATGGTCTGAGATGTTTTGCTGTATGTGCTATTGTATTTGGACAAAACTGTATATTAAGGATTCCAACATCAGCTCCAAAAACCTTTCCTGGAGCAGTTCTTTCTTACACCATGTTCCACAATTTACCTAAGACCATGCACGTGACGGAGTTGCAGCTCTGAACTGGTAGTGACAGCTTTAACGTGCTGTACCTTTGTTTTTCCTGTTGATTTTGCAGATGTTAAGAAAAAAAAAGAAAAATCCTGTAGAACTTTTGGCATAAAACTGTAGCTGCTGCTGTAGCTAAATTGCTGCTAAGTGTCTAGGTGATAAAAGCCTTCTCCCACGCCTGCCACTCTGAACAACACTATTGTCAGGAAAATGTATGCATCTTTTTCCAGTAAGAATAAGGACTGTGATAACATTAGCATTTAGACAAGACACTGAGCTCATGATTGTGAAATGCATTAATGGATGTGTCACTATTTTAAAAGAGCACATCTGATGGATTGTTTATACACGCCATCTCATTGTACTTATTTATTTATTTTATAGGATATTTTAAACATAAAATTGCACAGATCAAAGTAGAACTCTCCTGTGACCTCCTCACCTCAAGGGCCTGCGTTCAAGAGAACCGATCCCAGTTCCCAGCCAGTTGCGTATACCACTGAAGGAAAATGAACAGACTGAACAGCCACCACTTTTTGTACTTTCTGCCTACCACACGCCTTGTCATCTTATTAGTAGCTTTGACAACTGCTGAGCATGTGACTAATAGCACTTTCAACCGCACTGACATGAACACGGGATCTGCGCCTGTGGTGATCTCCCGCATCGACCATATTATAGTCAAGGAGGCGAGTAGTGCCTTGATCGACTGCAATGTCCAAGGTAGTCCTAGTCCACTTTACAGATGGTACAATTCCAACGGCCGCCTGCTCCAAGAGGAAGAGAACAAAGGTAAGATCTTTGTATTCTCACTGATACAGCCTGTCCAGAGACACTTCTGATTTCAGCAGGTTGACCAATAACCTGAATTTAATGGCCTGACTGTGGTGTTTTCCTGTGTGAAAATATATGAAAGCCCGGTGGCAGCCATAAATTTGTTGAGCGCACCTTGGCAGAAAACAATAATGTTTTTATAATGTGTTATTTAAGGCAACACACATAGCAAGAAGCTGAAGCGCTTCACAGAAGGTGTAGACAGAAGGTTTCATTGGAAGACTTCGGGTTTGATCCTATTTCCCATTCTGTCCTCTTTTGTCCTTCTCTGGCACCACAAAGCTATTTTCCAACTCAAGGGAGGATTCTCTTGACATATGGGAATAGTTTGTTGGCATGAATTCAACACAGCTAATTCCCTGATACGCCTCCCGTCTTTATGCATAGTGCCGTGGGAGTGTGAGAAACAGGAGATGCCTTGAATGACCAACAGAAAAACCTATATAGGGCAGCAGTCAGAAGGACAAGCCAAGTTTGAGCCTTCCTGGCTTTAGTTAAGACTCTTCAGTTGCATTTGCCAGAGACCTTAATTACTCATTAGCTTGTTTTCCTTAAATGGAAGGTTTGGGTGATAATCCTAGTTATACTTCTAGGGCACATTTGGGGGGGTGTTGGGGGGGGGGGGGATGGAAGGTGTTTTGCTCATGTAATCCTTCCATACTGACTGCTTTGTTCACAGCATGATGAAATAAACTCTTAGTTATTCATACTAAATGCAAGATAGCTTGCCTAACTAATAGCTGACCTGAGGGAGAGCTCTGCTATGACGGGAGTAATGATTGACCCAGCTGGATGTGCAACAGCATAGTGTATCTGTAAAAGCTTACTGCATAACTGGTTATATTTTACATTACAGTATTTTATCACTTTCCTGAGTAAAGCTAGAGAAAGGAACTACTTGAACTAGTAAGTGGACTTTCAGATACAATTTGTGCGGTTATGGCAACGTACTGTGATTAGTGCGCTAGAGTGTTTTACTAAGGCTCACTAACAGAAGTTTTCCCCTTTAGTTAGGCATCTAACTTTAGGCCTTTGTATGGTCAACTGAGAGAGAAACATTCAGGTAGGTGAGCAAAAACTTTGACCAAGTCAGTAAAAATTGCAGATGTAGTATTAAGACAACATCATTTTAACTTAGACTTTCAACGGTGCACTTCCTCCTTTAAGAAACTGACTGTCTTCCTGTAAGAAATGTTTCCTAGCACAAGACCTTGCTTTACTATGTATAGAGTTGAGTATGGCATTGAGCTGTTATCAAAACCCAGCAATGATACCTTTTCTAATCATTGTTTTCTCATTAGGCTCATACTGTCTGCCAAGATCCATTGGCACAGACCCAGTCACTGAGTCACAGTTCAATGCCATTATGTCGTTTATAACAGCTGGAGCCAGGATATATCAGCAAGGCATCTTGTCATTTTACAATTAATAAAGACCTACTTTGCCAACATTGCAATTCAAAGAAATACTGAGCAGCCAGTACTCTGTATTTTTTCTTACTCTAGAGGTGGAGAAAGAAGTGTCATCTGTTACAGATGCTGACATTTCCTCTGTAAGGGAGTTTTCCTCTGAATTTGCCTAACTTTAGCAGATTGGGGTGATTTTTTTATGTGAAGGTCTGCTTTAGACTGAGCTTTTTATTTATTCTATATTTTTTAATTTCAGGCTAAGTGATTCAGCTGCTTTCAAGAATTAAGCTAGGGCAAAAAACAGCGTTTCAGATAAGTTAAAAATTCTAAGTAAGAGGATAAAAAGGTGTAATTAAGAACTGTCCATACAGGAACTGAGGCAGGGATCTTGTGGGAATACTTTCTACGTAGGCTTCTACTGGAGATAATGTAAAAGAACAATTTGGATAAGCCATGTTTAATTAGAAAAACTTTCAAAATGGTAAAAGCCCATAACAACTCTGAATTAAAGGCTTTTTTTGACTAATGAATTTCAGAATTGCCCACAGATTCTTCCTTGAAAGAAATAAAGTAAGAAAATAGAATAATCTTTTTAACAACAAAAGAATTTCCATGAAAAGGATAAAATAAATATAGACGCAACGTATACACCAATCTGTGGCAGGACTGCAATCCTTGCCTTGTGATTTACATGCATTGCACAGGGGTTTTGTGCTGGTTTAGTCCTCTGATCACCGATTCTGTGTCTTTGCTCAGCTGCCTTAATAGACTTAAATTGCAGCTGGTTAGGTTAGGTTTAAGGAAAAACAACTTTCTGATAGTAAAAATAGGTAAACACCTGAAATTCCTTGCTGTGGAAGGTTATTGAAATTCCGTTACTGCCTTCAACAGATACCTGTCAGGAATGGCTTGGGATTGTGTTACAGAGATTGAAAACAGTTGAGTCTGCCTCTGAGCAGCAGTATGTATTACATGATCTTGTTGGCTTACATCAGCCTATGTCATTGTGTCACAAGGAAATCTTCTGTGTGACATCTCCCTCTATGAAGTGTTCAGAAGGCACGGAGGCACTCCTACACTTTCTGGCTGTGCTCTCCACCATGTGAACACTTCCACGGGTGGATTTACATGAAGGAAAGAATTGACACCAGGCTTTCCCATTGGAGTTGAATCATGTGTTTTATAGCAAAGTTGCAATTTAATCAGTCGTATCACACCGAATAAGGCAAAAAATACACATCCTCAGCTCTCAAATGGTATTGATATTTGCATAAAAATGAAGCTCACTTGCGGAACTAAAAATCTAATTTGTTATCAATATATAATGGCAAACACAATAACTAGCTGAATCTTGAATCACTTTAGCAGTGATAGGAGCGCTGGGTTTTAACATGTTGTTTCAAACTCAGTTTAATAACTAAATTGTTCTGCCGTGCCAGGCTCAAAGGATATGAAATGTACATGTACAATTACATGTAGTGACCAAAGATATCAATTATATTACACTGATAGAAATGTAAAAGTAAAAGAAGGTCCACCGTGGTGTGTAGAAGTTCACGCTGGCGAACAAGATGTTCTCTTGGTTGGTCATGGCTCTTCTCTTTCCCATCCATCTTACTCCTCCTGTCCTATTTCCCTTTTTTAAAATCATAATTCAAAATTAAATTCTGAATTCTTCAGAGGGCAGGCAGTGTAGTATATGATGTCTGAAATCTTATTTTTTTTAAAGTTTACATTAACAGAATTATATGAGATACTGTAGCAAAACACCAAAACTAACCCAATTGTAAGAAAATGCACTGTCAGGGAACAAAACAAGGAGGGCTTAGTAGGTTTTTCTGCCTCACAATCCCATTGTTGCTGTTCTTTGAGGAAGTGTGGCATGTGTTTGCAAGGCTCTCTGAGGTAAGTAGTCATATCTTTGTAACTTAACTGACCATAAGATTGTGATAGATGTCATGCATATTAACTGATTTTTTTATGAGACTTTGAGGGCATGATCCAGTTATTCACAGTTGATGTCAGGGACTTGATAGCAACACAGCTAGGGTCTCCGGGACAGATAGACCTTTGTGATAGTAAATACTTTGTCTTCTTGTGAACGTTATTTCCTTCTTCCAAAATCTGAAGCCAGTTTGACAAAGCTGATGTTTAAGACTATGCTGATCATGTGAAAAAAATACTTCTAACTAAGTTACTCTGTCTCCTCTCCAGCAGGAAAATGGTGGTTTCTTGACAACGGGCTACTAAACATTACCAGCGTGTCTTTTGAAGACAGAGGTAAATACACGTGTGTTGCATCTAATATGTATGGCAGTGTTAACAATACTGTGACGCTGAGGGTTGTTTTTACCTCCGGAGATATGGGAATCTATTACATGATTGTCTGCCTTGTAGCTTTTACCATTGTTATGATACTGAACATTACTCGGTTATGTATGATGAGCAGTCATCTGAAGAAAACAGAGAAAGCAATCAATGAATTCTTCAGAACAGAAGGGGCAGAGAAGCTCCAGAAAGCCTTTGAGATTGCAAAGCGTATCCCCATTATCACTTCAGCCAAAACGCTTGAGCTTGCCAAAGTAACCCAGTTTAAGACCATGGAATTTGCTCGCTATATTGAAGAGCTCGCTCGGAGCGTACCTTTGCCACCTCTCATCATGAACTGCAGGACTATAATGGAAGAAATTATGGAGGTTGTCGGTCTGGAGGAGCAAGGACAGAATTTTGTACGGCAGACAGCAGAAGGCCAGGAAACCACTGAAACAGATGAGCTGTACATGATCCCAAATGCTTTGAAGCGCAGTGACTCTCCCACAGCAGACTCTGATGCATCGTCACTGCACGAACCACCTCAACAGATTGCAATAAAAGTGTCAGTTCACCCGTTGTCCAAAAAGGACTGCATGGACGGTCAGTCGCAAGAAAGCGTGCAGTTGGACACCAAGGAAGAAGACACTCCTCAAACACCAGCACTTCCTGCAGAGCCCCCTCCTGAGCCTTCTGCCGAACTCAGTTCTGATGACACAGCATTGGCGAATGACAAAAATACATGCGTTATATATGAAAGCCATGTATGATAGTTACTCCTGAATCTATGCATAGCAGGAAAATCAGGTGGAGCTCTTTTAAAGATACATATTGTACTTGCCGCTAAGCCTTACCTGGAGACTATCATAGCAAAAGCATGTATGTGGATTATTTGGCACTTTCTTCTCAGTTTGACTTTAGTTTACCATGATGTATGGCAGAGTAATTGCTATTACATTAATATTAATTGCTCTTTTCAATTAGTATTTCCAAGAAACATTTACCTCAGCATTTTCTAGGTTGGAGTCACCTGTAGTGGCCTCCTGGAAGTCATTGGTAGTCTTTGGTGTAGGACACTTGAACATACTAAACACAAAATGGGTTTTCATTTTCCTCCTTCCCTCTCGTTATTTCCATCTATTGCATTTTTGCAAATATTATCTTGTGAATTTGAAATATTGCCCAAAAGGCAGCACTCCAGTAGCCAAATAAAATCCTAATAGATCCCATTTACAAAGCCTGCTTGCTCAGCTGCATTGTGATTTAGAGGGCTATTAAAGAAAGTTAAAATGTTTCCATTTCATTTGAGACCACACTGTTTAGGCACAAGGGAAATAGTTTTCCCTTTTCCATGGAATGAAGATGCCAACAATTGTTTTTTTCACATTGAGAAACAACTTTGAGGTGTATTTTACAGATGGGGAAGCCCGTAAACATCTTACAGAAAGTTGCAGTCACAACAGCTCTGCAGGGTTTTTTTGCATGTATTTGACTATTCTTTACTTTGCCAGAAGTTTATATGGAAAACAGCTGCAAATATGCAAGATGTCTCGTTTTGTAGTAATTTGGTAGGAGTAAGTACGCACTACCTTACCAGAAGATATGCAGGTTCCTGCAAATGCCAGTAATTAGCTGATGACAAGGCTGAAATGGCAGAAGACCCTTTTATTTGGATTCTCAATTTTGTGCAGATTCATATTCTGAAGATCAAGCCTAAATTCATCTATAAGCATAAGTCGGAGAGTGTTTTATCCAAACTAAAAAAAAAATATATATAATCAAGTGTCCTGTGAAATTACAATGACGATCACACAGTTTACTGTGCTATAATTGCTTTGGTATTCTAAGAACCTCCTACCTATGTAGGACGTTCACAGCTTGAGTACATGTGACTCTATCCCAGTAAAGCTTTAATGGTCACTGCGATTGTGGCATTAAAAAGGATCAACATTTATGCCAGGAAATGCCAGGAGTGGAAGCGAAGTGATAATTTCTATTGCAGACAGACAATAAAAAGGACCTTCTCCAGAGTGAGTCTGGAAAGAAAGCACTTACAAGGAGGAGTTTGTGTAGGAGTAATAGCATATTACTTAATTACCTGACACACATTTAGTTTGAAACTCATGAACAAAATATCACCTTACAGTTTTTAAGAAGGACTGTAGTGTAAGTATAGATACTCAAATCTAGAGTCACGTATACTGCAGAAAAAGTAGTTAGGACTTAGGTCTATGAGGAGATGATGCATGGATGGCTCTCTGGACATTTTATTGAAGTAGCCACATCTACATAAGGTGTCTGTTGGAGGCAATCAATCAGGTATATTAACTGCACGAGTAATTGAGATCAAACAAAGTCAATGTTGCAGGTATCTAAAAAAACTCTTGATAATGAACTGAGGTTTTATGTCAACTTCCTCATGTTAAGTGCAGAGCTTCACTAGCACTGTAACACAGGAACACCCTGTGACTAACGTTGGTGATGCAGAGAAGGCTCCATATTTACCTTCCTATGCTTATTAAAAAAAATACATGTTTAATAATGGACTTCAGATTTTGTGACCAACTTGTGAAAATGACAGCATTTAGTTGCCTAACATTTGTGCTCACCACAGTGGCAGGCATCTATACAAAATGCATTTGCACATGCCCAAAAGGAAACGTGCAAGGGCAAAGTCCCTTTAGGAACGTGGCTGGCAATATTTTAGTTCCAGTGAAGCAATATAAATCTAGAACACAGGGTAGATTAAGAGAATGCCATAAAGAACCTCACTTCTGACCAGTGTGATTGAAAATACTACTGATGCAACCTGTTAACTTCTTGTCTGAGTCCAAAGTATTTTCTGTTTAGTGTTCACATCAGTTTTTCAAGTCACTTAATTTGCTTCTGGTGTGAAAAAGGACGAGGGCAGAAACAACAGCAGGAACTTGCACTAAATTCTTTTAATTCACCTTAACCCCTGAAAAGAGGCATCTTGATTTTTCTGCCTGTCCAGCATTTACAAACAATGCTCATGTATTCTAAAGTTACCTGCCTAGTGCCCAACTAAGATTGCACAGATGAGCAAGGATGTTCTCCTTGAAAGCATAAAAATAACTTTTAAATTACACTTCAAAATTTTTAAAAAGTTCAAAATTATTTATTAAAATACAGTATTTTAATTGTTTTTTCTTTATGAACTTTTTACAGTAGAGACCAGACCCCTTCATGTATTCATATGGTGATTGGTACCAGGCAGTTCTGATCCCGACTGCTGCCCTCAGGCTGTCCTCCAGCCGTATATTATTTATTTATTGAGAAACATTTGAGAGCAAACAATCCCCATGGTTTTCTTCAGTATCTCTGTGTAAACTTCCTTGAAGATATAGATTGTGGTTTTTTCCAGAGGTTGCCCACAAAGAGCATGTATTTGAAGTACACACAAACGTACGTTGCAAACCACGTATGAGCAACAGTTGTTTGGATAAGACGCACGTAATAGGTGCAATGCTGAATTCCTGATGTCGCAAGGTCAAAGAGAACCGTGACTTTGCTGGAGCCGGACTCCCTTGGAGCTGAGAGTTCACAGATGGGACTGGTCCAGCCAGTCTGCTATAAATACTTCGGACATTTAGCTTTGTGGTATTATCGGAATAAAAACAGAACAGCACTGTATCTGAAGAAAATACAGATTGTAATGGTTCTGGTTTGTGTATTTTTTCTGATTTCATGCATGCTGCTCAGTATTTTTATGCATCCATTATAACACCTGTAAGCATAAAGCTTTTTATATGCTTTCAGGCACTTCCTTTGTGGGAGATAGATGGGAAGCAAGATCCAAACCCATCTTTCCTGTTCCAAACTTTCTGGCTGTGCTATCATAAAGGAAACAACTCTGTCTTGCAGTATTTATTAGGGAATGGCTATTTTATGGTGCGAGAACACAATTAACAAACATAAAATTAATGATGGCTCTAAGGAAACGTTAACATTTGCGTTGTTATATATTTTCATGCACCTTAAGCACTTCAGGGACATTAGAGTGATCCGTTCCCATCATTGGACTATGCACACCTTTTGTTACGTTGTTCTGTTTATTATATCACCAAATGCTGATGGTTCTTAAAACACTCAGAATCTGGAAAATCCAGTACAACTGAATTTGTGTTCTAAAAGCATAAGGAACACCAAGCCAGGCTTAGAAAGGAGAAGAGATTTGCAGGATATATTTACACTTTTTAAAACTATTTTTGCCAAAACTTCATGAAACGTGACTAGATATCTGCAGCATAAGAAATAGGTGCTGGATCTGAATTTTACACTTACTATTCTTTTTGCACTAAATGTAAGACCATATTAATCAGACCACTTGAACATAGTACTCGCTATCTACTTAACATTTTCTTTTTGAGCAGCATTTGTTTACTGTTGATCCTTTTTTGTTCTCTGATTTGAGTATGCTTGTGAAGAAACCTACCCTTCAGTCATTTTTTGAGATTGTCATTTGAAAAATTTAAAAGAACCCATAGATCAGCATTTTTATGCAGGTTTATTAGTATTAGGTGAGGCATAGCAGTTCGCTCCTGTGCTCAAAAATTACTGTATAATCGTAAGACTTGCAGAATGGCATATACGGGCAGACGTTGATTTTTTTTAGGTCAGTGCCTGTTTTATTCTAATGTACATACTATGTCAGCTCCTCAATTTGCAGTTACCTTTTGACAAAAGTACTGTAACATGTAGCCAGGGCTTTCTGATGTTCAATTTGGTTCAGATCAACTAATTCTGGAAAGTGTTAACAGTGTCGAATTTTAAAAGTTCTCATGGAATATCTTGGCAGCATGCTATTTTAGGAGTTGGCCTCCTAAGTATGCCATACTTAGTGGGACAACTGAAAGCTTCTTAGATGCAAAGGAAATGCTTGCACTAAAGTATCTTAAGTTATATTTCATTTATTATTAAATCCTTTTTGATTTTACAAGAAATGTAAGACAAATATGAATGTGTTCTTTTGAGAAGCAGTTACTGTATTTTGATTTAAATAACTGTTACGATTTTATAGTTCACGGCCGTCAACCACGGAGACCAGTTCATGCTGAAGTGGCAAAATGAAATGTGATCCAGCTTGTAAATTGATCATTGTTTCAATAAAGAATTTGCACAGAGCATGCCGGGTTTGTACACACTCAACAAGATGATGGTTTCCTAGTAAGAGTATGCCACGGCATCAGCCAAGTGGAAGTAAACTATGTCTTTCATTGTACATCTGCTCATATTCCAGAAACATTGATCAGAAAAAACAGTTATTTACCTAGAAAGGAAGTTTTAATAAAGCTCTGAAAGGGAGCTGTTGTCGTTATTCAGAATATAGACCCAACTGTTAATCGGTGGTGTTAGCAATAGCCTAGATTGCTCATGTATGTAGCATCTTCTCTTTGGAAGCATGTCAGCACTTCCGCATGTAATCCAAAGGACTTTTTTGTCAGCTGTTTCCTCTCTGAGCCCTGTCATGGAGCCTTGCAAAAAGTCTTGCTGCTGTTTCAGAGTTGGGGCCAACAAAGTAAGTGTCTCTTCTACCAGAGGCGCCCTAGTACCAAGACAAAATAGAAGTGCGGGTTGCCATACCTGCCCCCATTCCTTCATCCACCCTAAAAGGATGAGGTGAAATGGCTTTCCTGTCCCACAGCAGCTGGACTATATTACT